AGGAAAGGTCTTCCCAACAATATCAACAACAGTGGGGTTTTCTTTCTCTGTTGATTTGCTCAGATGTTAATGTTTGATGCAGGTTGTTTGGTTAGGAGTTATAAAAAGAAAGACATTGCTGTTGTTATTCAAAACAGGAGCAAGGTATGAAGGAAAGCAAATGCGTGCTATACCACAAGTTCTGCTCTGCTGAATATGGAACAGTGTGAAAACTATGTAAATCAGGACTCAAACCCAGAGCTTCTGTATTTATAATGACACTGCGTGATCTGATGATCATTTTGTCTACTTTAAATGCTAGGGAAAACCCCATCCAGTTACAGCTCATTAGCATGTAATCCAGCCCAGTAATCTATACCCAACATGCCAGAGTATCCATGTGTCAGGTGCTCCCAGTGCCTGCACAGAGTGCAGAATCAGAGCGCTCAATGTGGTTCTGTTTGCATCATGTCAGGCTTGTGTGCAAAGTGGAGACAGAGCAAACGTGGAAACGGCAAAGGGAGCAAACAGCTCAGGCTTAATGCTGTGTTCCACAGACGCAGCTCTGTGTGCTGACTGTGGAGATGCAGAGGAATGTGAACTCTTTTCTCTTTGCTCCTGGTTACAGAAGCCCTATGCCTGTCAGATTCCTGGCTGCTCCAAACGCTACACCGACCCCAGCTCCCTGCGCAAGCACGTGAAAGCTCATTCTGCCAAAGAACAGCAGGTGCGTAAGAAGGTAAGAGCCACCAGGCAGTGTGTGACACATCCCACATCTCCTCCATACAGTTATGTCTAACTTACCTTTAGTTTAGGTACTTCCAAATTGGAGTTCTTCTGGAGTATCACTGAAGGAAAACTTCAGTTGAGCTCCTTTTCCTGTTGGTTTGTAATTCCTGTTGTTAACCAGTCCACTTTATCCTTCTGCACCTTCAAGGCGACCACTCATTTTGGTTTGCTTTCTCTCCAAGCATTTCTTTCCTGTTCATTTTTCATACACAAGCCCAAATTCTGCTGTCATTCACATAAAATATCCATGCATTGAGTCTCTGCCATCAGCTAGTAAATACATGTTGGCAGATCATCTACAATACAAATGAAACTAAGCCAGATACTATGGAAATGTCAGGAAAGGAGCACTTGCAATAGATGAGAATGAAAACCCCCACTTTTCCCACCACATCTGTATTATAAATGCATTTATAAATCATTCCAAACCCAGACTGCTAGTTATGTTTTCACCAGTATTAGATTCAAGTAAGTATTTTGGTTTCTGTGGGCTAAATCCTGAACTCATGATTGAATGGGGATGCCCACAGGCACCAGCTCGGGATCAGAGACTTGTTTATTACACATTTATACACACAGTTTGTAAAAAGATGATTGGGACCCCACAGAGCTGGTCTGTGATAGAACAGACCATGAGCATACTTGAGGCCCAGGAGTGGCAGGGAATCCAGGCCTTAGCAAGCAATTATGATTACTTCAATAACAGCAATGGCATCTGCCTTGCCACTGCCAAGAGCATCCAGATGAGACAAGCAAGGCATGTTTAGGGGATGGAGGTGTGTAAAGGATGGAGGACAGCAGATACGACAGCCTGTCAAGACAGAGCTAGGGAGCAGCTGGTTTGGAAAAATGTCACAGGTAAGAACTAGAAGTACTGGAGAGCAAAGGGAGAAACATGTGGAGAGCAGAGACAATAGGAGAACACAGGTGATCTTAGTTGCAAACAGTGGGATGAGCCATGGAGGAGTGAGAAGGATGTCAGAAAGACATAATCCTGCTTGATTACAACTGTGCTGACTTTGCAGTGACTTGTCCTTATGTCAGCCATGCCCCTCTCTTCCATCCCTCCCCTCCTGCTGCTTCTCTTCTACAGTTTTCACTTGGCTACATTCACCTTTCCTAAGACAGCCATCTGTCCCCCAGTCCTTCCTGTACCCCTGCTCTGCATCAGCCACATGCAGTCTGAGTAACAGTGTCTAGAACATCAGTGTCCAGAGTTGTGCACACTATTACAAATATTCCAGAAGCACTCATTACTCGCTGAGCTTTGTGCCTGGGAGTAACACTGTTCATGCCTAACAGCCATCCAGATGTCCACAGAATCAGTTCTGTTGTCTCTGCATATATTGGGTCCAGTCAGAACTTTTGTTTAGCCTGGCAGGACTGGAAAGGACTGCCTAGTTTTCAAGCCCAATGTTGTATTATCAGGCCACGTGGTTTCACTACAGCTCTCTGCTTTCCACAGGGTGTGCTGTCCACATACCTACCACACCACAGGTCACAAAACTCCCAACACTTCCCTAGAGCAACCTTTAGGTCTTAGTGAGAGAAAGAGTCCAAAAGTCATAGCAGTAATTGCCTACAGAAAGAGGCTGACTGTGGCACCACAGTCTTTTGCAGTAGCAAGATCTTCATGACAGGAAGATTTTGTTATATGAAATTCTCAGCTGATTGTGGAAAGCAACCATGCTCCCTATTCCAAAGGAGAGAACCTCCCATCTTTCCTTCCTGGGGTTGCTGACATACTTCTTGGGGAAGGAAGGAGGGAATTATTTCCTATTACCAAACACAAGTATCGTTTGTTCAGTGCTGTGTATTGGGCTGAGTGCAGTAACATGTTAACATCCCCTACACCTGGGCAAAGGAACAGTCCCCACTGTTACACCCTGTCACTTTCTGAGTGACACTTCTATTTCCAGTTCTATGGAGTGAGAAAAAACCCTAAATCCAAATTTTGCCTGAAGTTGCATGAAGGATTTCCTGCATAAGCAGCAGAGGCCTTAGGCATAGCATCAATACAGGATAAATGTGTCACACAGATTGCAAACTCAAGCTGCTCAGATGTACTGAGACAGTAAATATCCAGGGTTTCATCTCTCTTAATCTCCCATCTTGAGGAATTTTCTTGCATTCATATACATACCCTCCCATACACTTACCAAGTGTATCTTAAATAATGGTAGTTCCTTGCCTCCCACACCTTATTTGGTAGACCAGTTTAAATCTGCACTCCTCCAGTGGCTGGGAATCATCTTCAGATTGCCTGTCTCATTTATCCATGATAACTTTAGGAAGACTTGATCCTGTGTCTTTTTTCCTTGAACTTAAAAGGCATCTGCAAAAGCACCAGATTTAAACTGCATTTTGATCAGGCTCTCTTAAAATCTGACTCATGAAGACATAATACACACAAACACACCCCTCCCAGTATTTCACTTAAATGTAGTGACTTTCACAGCTAAGTGAAATCTCAGTGTTATTGAAATGGTGACAGTCTACTTTGGATTTCAGATTTAGGAGGAAAGGGGAACAGGCTGTTTACACTCGCTGGTTTTTGGTTATAACTCAGCAAAGGCAGTTGTTCATTGGCATCAGCTTCCCGGGACTTCTGAGTGGAAATGACTTAGCCAAGAAAGAAAAATTAACAGGCTGCTCTGCCCACATGGATGGTTGATATATGCTACCAAAATGTGCCACCTCTGATACAAAACAAAATGCCTGAGCTTATACTTACATGAAAGGAATCCTGAGTATTGAGTTCATAACTTCGGAGATGACTGCAGTGGTAATATTTGGTTGTTCTGCAAGGCTTTACAAGAACAAAATAGGGAAAAGTTAGCTGTTAATTTAGTAGTAGTTTAAATGTAATTGGCTGCAGATGCACTTTGTGATCCAAAAGTTAGATGTTTATCTTGAACCAACAAATGGCTGTACAGCAGAGTTCTAAATTGGTTTGCCTGGACCTTTTAGAATAACCAAACCCAGGGGAGACTGGTATGCACAACTGTAAACGCAGAGACAATAACTATTTATTAATGGCTATAGAATATGATGGCTGTTTGTGTAATGTGAGCACTATATTATGACAAAAGCTTGGCAGCATCAGCATGTTTGAAAGAGAATTAGAAATGCTTTTCTTTCTTAATTCTCCTCTCCTGCTGGTTTTAATATGATCGACGTTGTGGTTTGCAAGAGTTTGCTTCAGACACTTTTGCCAGAGCTTTAATTTACATGGAGCACAGATGACGTATCAGTGATACCTCTTACCCGTTACTGACAGCACATTATTCCACCATTTCTAATCTGATAAGCACAAACGCTTTTCTTTCCCTATCAGATGTCTTTCCAAGTGTCACAGTTACAAGGTGAGGCAATCCTTTTGCCACAGAACCCAAGGAACTACAGAAAGCCTGAAAATAGGCAGTTAAATTGCTCAGGAAGGTTTGAAGAAACACAGGGTACATTATTTTCTGAAGCAAACTGTTGCTGATTTCAGATTATCACATTTAACTTGTTTACTTGAGAAAACCCAAATTATCTCTAATTAAAAATACCAAGTAATTACACCAAGTTCCTAAGAACGACATTTTATTCCTTCCTTCTTTAAGCAAAAACAGACATATGAATTGAATTAAAAGTCATTTGATTTACCTTGAAATAAAATGTTTGTTTTATCCTCCTCTTGCAGCTGAATTCATGTACTGATATTGAACAAGACGTACTAAGTGAATGCTTAGCCATACAACAGCTCCACACATCTTCACAACACATCTTGGATGGAAAGTGTGGTAGATCTGTAGGTCATCATGATTTAATTACAGGTAAGAATACTGCTAATAAGTACGGTGCTAAATATGTCATGTAATAGGGGATTTCAAACAGAAAAGCTTTTGGGTCTGATTTGCCTCTATGGAAGATGAAAAATAAAACCCAAACCAGGAAATAAAATGAAATCATTTTGGAGTTGTTTGCTAAGGCCTGCCTGGTTTTTTTAGCAGGCTTAGTCAGCCAAATAGCTCCTATTAATTTCACATGAGGGGTGTAGCAGCCCTGCTGAAGGTCAGCCTCTGTCCATTTAGAAGTTTGCCTTGGCTTGAGCAGAGTGCAGGTGCGTGAGCTTTGAAGCCAAACGAGCGCTGTAGCAAAGGCAAAGGCACGCAGCCATAAGGGTTTCCAGCTCTTCAGGAGCTGCAGAAGAGTTGATGAGGCTGTGTATTATCATGCACTGTGTGGTTATACCAAATAATATGGTGATGTATGAATGGAGCGAAGCTTGAATGTGAAATGTCAAACATGCTGGTTTAATTATATTTTCCAGTATTTAATCTTTCTTTCATTTCTTCTTGTCTGTCCTTTCTTGTGGTTCGAACAAGAGCTGGCCCCTTTCAGGGACCTGCCATACATTTTATAGGAAGAGAAAAAGATGCTTCCATTCCCTTCTGCAGAAAATAACATCTAGATTCAAAACTTCTGAACCTCAGTAGAGGATCCCGAATCAGGGATGTAGCAATCTCAGGTTCTCAGTTCAGCCAGCTGAGAGAAAGAGGAACCCCCAAAGGCCCTGAGTTTAATGTGATCTGCCTCACCCTGTGAAGGCACCCATATCCCTCCACGGATTCTAGACATCAGTGTGGCAAACCTTTCACTTAGGTTGTTTTCACTCTCAAATCTCTTTCTGCCCATATAACTATTTATTCCCTTTTCTAATTGTCACTTTATTCTCAGCTTCAGCAACATCACCTATCAGTGCATTGCAAAGCTCCCACTTGGGGCTTGGGCTTTTACTTTTCTTCATAAATTTTGCACTTGTAACTTTCAGATGATGCTCCATGAGAAAAACATGCACACAGACATGTACTTGGTCTGCTTAGTAGAACCTACTTTTAGAGAACCATTCATGTTACTGCCTTTGAAGCTTCTCTAACTCTCTAATACCCATTTTGGGATGGATAACGAATACTATGCACAAAATTCCAGACTCCACCATTCACTTGACGAATAAGCTGTCATTGTTGTGTTTTCCTGGGTGATTCTCTGTCATGTTTCAGATGCCTCCCAATTTTTTAATGACAGCTGTGCATTAGAAGTGGGATGGATGTATGGCAGCATTGTGTATCTTGCACTTCTCATGGTCTCGAGAGAATCTCCAGAAAAAAGATGTAATAAATATTAATCACTTTTTCATTCTCCCATTGTTTAACTAATAATGCACACTAAGCCCAGTTTTGGACAGATTGTTCCTAATTTATGGGCAGGAATAGGGAAGCTGGTATACTGCATGCTATGCCTAAGGGTGGAGGACAGTTTGAATCCTAAAATCCCAAACTGGTTTGGGTTGAGAGGGACCTTAAAGCTCCTCCAGTTCCAACCCCCTGCCACGGGCAGGGACACCTTCCACTAGAGCAGGTTGCTCCAAGCCCCTGTGTCCAGCCTGGCCTTGAACACTGCCAGGGATGGGGCAGCCACAGCTTCTCTGGGCACCCTGTGCCAGCGCCTCAGCACCCTCACAGGGAAGAACTTCTGCCTTACCTACATCTAGTCTGAATCTCTCTTCTTTCAGTTTAAAACCATCACCCCTTGTCCTGTCAAGACAGTCCCTGCTAAAGAGTTTCTCCCCATCTTTCTTAAAGTCCCCCTTTATACATTGAAAGGCTGCAATAAGGTGGTCTCCCCAGAGCCTTGTCTTCTCCAGGCTGAACAAAGCCCAACTCTTTTAGGCTTTCCTCATAGGAGAAAGTCTTCGGATTGCAGAGCAGAGCCAAGGTGAGACACAGAAGGCAGGGATGCCATTTATTAAGACTTTTCTTTCAAACTTGGTCAATATTAGAAAAGTTCAATGCTATTAAAATCCAAAATTATTCATAAAATTATTTAGCTTGGAACTAAATTAATCTTGATTTAAGATACACTTTATCCTCTTTCAGTTCCACTGTGGAGGAGAGGCTTGACTTGGTATTACTAAACACATTTTAAATTGATTTAGTAACTGAGCACGAGCTTTCCAGCCAAACCCTGGCTTGTTTCTGTTGAGGCTTAGAGAAATCCAATGGTAAACTGGGATTAGGAAACGAAAATGCCTGGTGCTAGTTCCTCTGCACCAGGGGAAGAGCTGATGCACTTTGTTAATCTATTTTGCTTTGTAAAAGCAAAGTAATAAAGTATTACTTAGGCAAGATCTTAAAATCAACCCAAGAAATGCGTCCTGCTTGACATCTATTCTCCTTTCTAGTTCCTAAATATTACTTAGGCAAGATCTTAAAAATCAACCCAAGAAATGCATCCTGCTTGACATCTATTCTCCTTTCTAGTTCAAGTTGTGCTAAAATGTTGGAATGTAACTGGTGAACAGAACGGAGCAGAAAGGGAAATAACCCATCATTCCAGTATTGTTCCCTGGGGAGCCTGTACTCACGGTTTGTATGTGGCTCCTCAAAAAGTGGCAGAAGGCTGGAGGCACTTGGGGGTGTTATTTCACTCCCCTACCTCTGTCATCCGCACTCTAAAGACCTGTGGGGGCAGCATGTGGCCTCTGCTCTCACCCTCGGCAGGGCTTGGCCTCTCACTGCCAGGCAGGACAGGAGACACCAGCAACATTTCCCTCAGAACAGGCTGCACTTAAGAACCTCAGAACTAGCCTCGGATTTCAAGTGACAACAATAAAACAGGAAAGAAGTTATTCACTTGCAGATAAACAGACCATCCCTAACCTCTCAGTGTCATTTCTGAGAACCTCTTGTGAGATGAAAGATTTTGTCTATCTCTGGCTTTCTCTGATATGATTTCTTTGCTGATTCTATCAGTCCATCACCTGGATGTTGTAAAAAACCTAGTAAATCTTCCCCAGCGCTTCCATCGGGTCACCCCATAGGAGACCCCATCACATGCACAGTATGAAGAAGGGCCAGGAAAAATAAATCAAGATTTGAAAGACTGTTTTGCAGTGAAACAGAAGTTGCTTCATAGTATGTGTAGTACAATTCCATAGGTAAATCTGTTCCTCTGTCATAATTTAAGGCATACAAACTAAAGTGCTGATCCTTACAGAATTAAATCATAAGGACATTCCT